ACTATTCCTTCCCTCAGCAACACTATGAGAGCATAGTGCCCCCAACAGCAGGCATTAATATATAATTGGTGTCACGTAATCACATCATTAATTTCTGCCAACGCACAATTAGTCTATTCTTTTGTATTGTTTTAAACGGTTCAATACAGCAAGCGAAAGAGGACGGCGTCGATTTTGACGTTGCCGGGGTAATGGACACGTGGACTGCGCAAATGAACTACCCCCTGGTGACGATCGAGCGCAACTATGGCGCAAATCCGACAGCGCGTATCTCACAGAAACGATTCCTACTGGATCCGGATTCGTTGGATGAAGAGATTGACGATAATCCGTACAAGTATGCGACGATTATAGAGCGTGTAAACAATCGCGTGAACTAATTATTGCATTATATGCGCTGTATGTCACAGACCTGTCTGTATTAAACGCAATAGAAAGTGGAAAAGAAACGATGCTTGAACAGTCGTTGGTAGCGATTTTTTTTTATAGTAACGTGCATTGTAGATGGAATGTTTAGTCCATTGCCTCGTAAATTTTAATAATTTAAACAGCATACATGCGAAAGATTTTCCTTTCAATGTTCTTATAATTCGTTACACAATTACGTTATTTTTACGTGTACTTCTATGTTTACAGACATTTGCTATATTATTGCAGCTACGTTTGGCAGATCCCTTACACATACATCTCACGGCAGACTAGAGGCAGAGTAGGTGTAAGGACTTTACACTGGTTAAGAAACGAGACGGGTATGTACTTGGGTACGGCCCAATGGCCAATGCGACATCTGATCGTACTTGATAAAACCTATGCTTGAACGCACTTTTATAACGTGGTAAATGTCATGAAAAATATATCTATGCTATAGACATAGTATCGATCAAATTATGTTGCAACATTGTGTTTGCTTTTGGCTGAGTGTTCAAGTTACTCATGATCATATCAGAATCTCGGCAGTTATATCAGTAGTATCATGATAAACACGCAAATTCATTTAATAATGACAAACGTCAGCGTGATCACCTCTTTTGATAGACGAATCGTTCTTTTTATCATCCGCCATTATGCCATCCCTTCATTCCACCATCCTACAATGCCGATATGCTGTTATCACAGCACCCCCGCTATCCTGCTTTCCCACAATCCCGCCAATTCCGGCATCCTTGTCAATCATCTCGCCGCAATATCCTTATTTCCGGTTTTCTAATCATCAAGTAAATTCTGTCGCAAATCTTTAATATGTACAACAATGATCCCTCTACGAGCACGTAGCAGCAATTGTAAATACATAATTCATTTATTCAACTAACTAGTTCAACTAAGTTTGTGTTGCGCCGATAGAGTACCTAAACTTGCGCTATTGCGTTTATGCCGTAGCATCGCGGCGTTCGTGTATACTGCGCTAGACACTTAGCTGCCGTTTGCTTGGCGTTTCTCATCCTAGGCGTTGTCAGTGAGACGGTGCCCGTGGACAAGGACTGGCTGCTAGCGGACGTGGCAGGCTACGCTTACTACAGGGTCAACTACGACGAAAGAAACTGGAACCTTCTTGTCGAGCAATTGAAATCACACCATGACGTAAGTCGATCGGCCACCAAATAACATACTAGTACCGTCTATACAGAATATTAGGAGTGAATAAAAACAACAAGCTTTCATACAATATCTCGCTGTATATATTATATACGGTATATGTGTGTTCCTGTGCGGGTGTGTGTGTGTGTGTGTGTGTGTGTGTGTGTGTGTGTGTGTGTGTGTGTGTGTGTGCGTGCGTGCGTGCGAGCAAGCGCGCGCGCGTGTGTTTGTGTATCCAAGTTAACTGTGTATGTACACCAACCCACTATCCTACGGTAAATGTCTTACTCGAAGCGCAAACCTTATAAAGCGCATAAATTACTGTTATATTTTTGTGTGTAGTCCTATCAAAACATGTCTAAGTTAATTGTATATACATAGTGACGTGTCGCTGTGTCCGGTACCGACTCGTCGTCATATCTAGTCACGTTGCTGACTCAACCACGCTGATTTTTGTTTAACTCGATCTGTCTAGGTATTCTCGGTGCTTGACAGATATAAGATGATAGACGACGCGTTCAGTCTCGCTCGGTAAGCTATTTCGATACGGTCACGCGCGTTCAGGGCTCCCTGCTATTTCTCATTATCTTAAAAATTGAAGATTTGGAGTATGGTTCAGTATAATACCTCAGATTACCTCAGACACGTTCATAACAATAAATTCTCGCCCAGTAATCTCGACTCGGTGAAGTTCCGCAATATTCCGCCCGATAACGCTACGTAGCTATATATATATATATATATATATATATATATATATATATAAATATAATACATACATATATATATATACATATATATATATATTAAGAGTACATAATAGAGATCTCTATTATCTACTCCTGATATATAATATGCATATACTAGACGGGATCCGTGGCGTCTGCTGTGTTGTGTTTCAGCGCGGGAGAGCTGGACACGGTGCTGGCGCTGCAACTGTCGGAGTACCTGGTTGATGAGACCGGACTACCGTGGCACAGCGCGCTCCGGCATCTCGATTACCTGAGACTGATGCTGAGGAGAACGCCGACGTACACATTCTTAGAGTATGTGCCAGAAGCCTGCGTGCGTGCGCGTGTGCGTGCGTGCGCCCGCGCGTGTGTGTGTGTGTGTGTGTGTGTGTGTGTACGCGCCCGCGCGTGCGTCTGTGTGTGTGTGCGTGCGTGCCGCGGTGTGTGTGTATGTACCGCCGCGCGCGTGCTGTGTGTGTATGTACGCGCCGCGCGTGTGTGTGTGTGTACGCGCCCGCGCGTGCGTCTGTATGTGTGTATGCGTGCGGGCGTGTGTGTGTGGCGTGTGTGTGCGTGTGTGTGTGGTGTGTTGTGTGTGTGTGTGTGTGTGTGTGTGTGTGTGTGTGTGTGCGTGCGTGTGAGTGTGTGTGTGTGTGTGTGCGTGCGTGCGTGCGTGCTGCGTGCGTGCGGTGCGTGCGCGCGTGCGTCTGTGGTGCGGTGGTTTGTGTGTTTTTGTGTGTGTGTGTGTGTGTGTGTGTGTGTGTGTGTGTGTGTGTGTGTGTGTGTGTGTGTGTGTGTGTGTGTGTGTGTGTGTGTATGTGTTATATCATTTCGATTATAATTTTAAATTATGCGTATTTATGATAGTAATAATACTGGTGTGTCAATAAGGGTAGACTTACGAAGTATCAAACAAAAAGTAAAGATTTTTCTGCCGAAACAGGACTACGTGAGTACGATTCTTCTCCCCACCTACAAGGATGTCGGCTGGTCATCGATAGACGCAGAAGAGATGCTGAGATCGTGAGTGCATCGATACATATATAACACACACAATAATACGATAAAACACACGACTGTGCGCCTTACGTCGGACCGCATCACAATCGTTAAATTTCCGCGGAAATATTGCCAAACTAGAAATTTCCGCGAATGCTGCCCGGCTGGAGCCAAACTAACATAAATAATCAGGAGCTTATAAATGGAATTTATATATATATATATATTTACATTTATTAGCTCCTGAAATAATGATATCATAATAAGTATAGGGTGATGGCGCCAGCGCCAGCCGTTAGGTCACGCTCTAAGGAAAGCTACGGATCATTGCAGTATTCATGGTGGCAGTACTTCTCATGATGTCCATGCATGTTAATGGATGCGTGCAATAAATTCCTATCATGCAGCATATTACATAAACCATTAACCGTGATATCGCTTAACCAACAGTAAATATCTAACATGAGGTTTTTTAGTTGCCGTCTACGGTGTTAATTCCAATCAAAATCTTTGGTAGGTAGGTTCAATTTTTTTCAAAATGCCGATCAAGAGTCTAATCAGTTTACGCGGGGTTACGCTTAACGTTGCAACGTATCTATTACAGCTTTATCGTAGCCTATAGGATAGAAATTAACGGCGTGCACGTCTAGGCAGTTGCAATTATTTGTATACATCTTCTCCGTTATATAGGTTCGTAGCACGTGCTCTAATATATTCAAAAAGAAACACTGTATTAAAGTGATTACGTCACCGTAAATAGTAAAAAATTAAAAAAACATTTCCACTTTTTCACAAAATATAAGTAATTCTGTTCACATTTTATGGTTAAATTGCTGCATTATACTTCCTAGTTTACTATATTGTTCGATGTGAACATACACTCGTGACTCATACATAGCCCATAGCAAGCAATTAATGTTGAGAACATTAATTTAAAACGTCCAGGTTTTTTGGATTTTTAACTAGTTGAGAAACAATCTTATCAGATAAGAATTTGACGATTTGTTTAGTCCCGTTAGTTCTTACTTTTAATGTAAAAAAATGGCAATTTTTTTAAAACAAATTTTACCATAGAAAATTCGTGATGTAGTCCCTTTCTTTGTTACGATTTATCCATATGATTAACATTTATGTTTATTTATTCTGCAGTCAACTGGCGCAGGTTGTTACAGCTAAAGCATGCAAGTACAATATACAGGAATGTATCGACCAAGCTCAGGATATATTTGACAACCGGCTGATGGATAGGTAAATAAACTCTCGTTTTATCGTAACCTTTGAAAGGATATATTTGACAACCGGCTGATGGATAGGTAAATAAGCTCTAATTTCATCGTAAACCCCCTTCTGAAATCCGTGTCTTGGTCTTGTGCTGTGGTGTTGTTGTGTGCTGTTGTGTGCGTGTGTTGTTGTGTGGTGTGTCTCGGGCGTGGTGTGGGTGTGTTGTGTGGTGGTGGTAGCTAACATTCTACCACTAATCTTACTACTTATATAATATATAAATATTACATATATACAAAGCTTTTACTAACTGTAACAGTGTAACGCATCATACGGTACTCGCCCAGCTACAGGGAACAATATGTACCGATTAAAACAAAAGTCTAGGACGAGTATGGCACACTACGCCCAATGACTTAACTCCACAGATTGCCGCCGTTTTGCCTAGTCACCGACAGCCTTGCTAAGCCTAAACAGGTATCTTTCGCTGGGCAATTTTACCTCAGCGATATCATCATCCGCGGTGAAATCTGAAATCACCGCCCACCCTTCGGCCTCTTGTGGCTATCGCCCATATGAATTTCTGAGGCTCTTTACTCAGCGCCGCGTCATTCTATAGAGCCTACGTATGATATTTCATTAATTCGAATATTATATATTTAGTTGTACTCTACGGTATCTTCAGCCTAAATATTTCGTTGTATTTTAAAGTAGAAAATGTATGTTGAAAGTGTTTTTTTCGAAGACTGTTGGATTACGCGACCAACGGCACATTGATAACGTTTCCGGACGCAGTGCAAGTTATCAAGGAAATAGCTCGTAGCGACGTCGGTGAACGCATAGCTTGGGATTTCTTTACCGACAACTGGGACTGGGTATCCTGCAACGCTAAAACTGCAGCTGGCAAATCATATCATATGCGTGTGCTATTCTCTCCTTCTTCGTCACAAATGTTACCATCCAGATCCGTCGATGTGTCGACATTTACTCTGAGATCATTACCGTTTTCCTCCTAATTCTTGTTGTCTCTTCTTTCTTCGTCTCGCTGCTCGCTTCAGGTCGCTCTCCCTCCGTTATCTTCTTCCTTTATTTTCGTTAGTCTCGTTAGTTCCTTTCGTTCTCTATCTCGTTCCATTCTTATCTCTCGTTAGTCTCGTTATACTCTCGTCTTTAGCCTCTTAGTTCGTAGTTCCTGTCTAATCGGTTAATGTCGTCTCGCGGATATTCATCCCGTATGTTCTTACGTATCGCGCTTTGTTCATTCTGAACGCGGATGTTCTCTGTACACCTATGGTATGCGCTTAGTGCATTTTACTAACTACATATATACATCCACTACAATAATCCATTATTAACCATTTCATTCCAAACGTCACCACCGCTAATTATATCTTGACTTCTAGTCTCTACAGGCAACGGATGTCCATGACCACGATGAATAGAGACCAACTGACCTCGTGCATATACATCGCATCTGCGACGATTGAAAGGTTTAGTGACATACAGGACGTAGCCCTCCTCATCCTATATCGAAATACTTAGTACTTCTGGTAATAGACTTGTCTGATAACCAATGGTACCGATATAATGATGATGAAATATGATGATATTATGATAGATTATAATACTGCCTAATGCATGATTCCGAGTGATGAGAATGATCTTCATGAACCCATGTATTGCAGAGATGATATGAATCGATGTACGAATCGACGACGATCGTGACGCGACTCGTCACGAACGATCTCACGACGACGGTGCCGCGACAAATCAATTCCGTAACCGGCGAAGAGAAGAGAATAAGGATAGGACGACGACTTACAGATAATGCCGTCGTACGACACGAGGAAATATATGCCCAATCGACGTAAGTTCTAATAACGTCATTTTGTCTTGTCATCCTATTATTCTTGTCCCCGCAGTTGCAGAACTGGATAGCTCAGCTTACTGAACGAGACCAGCTGGGCACTGGCAAGGCGGCATGGACTGCTGCGTTAGCAATGACGCGCTCTAACATTAAATGGTTGCAGCAAAACCGACATGACATGGACAGGTGGCTGCGCAGCCGTGTGCGCTGACGCTGATGGCGATGGCGGACACGACGTTTACGCTACCGTAGTATTGCACTCCTATGAAATCAACCAATTAAGTGTGCACGAATATTGTTTAACTATAGTTTCGTGTTTATATAACTAAGTTCTGTGTATGCTCACAGTATTCAGTCTACAAATATCGATATTCTACTCTACTCTATCTATTTATCTATACATCCCTGTTATCCTCCTCTTCCCCCCCCTCTTTCTTTTCTCCCCCGGTCCCGTCTCCTCTCCTCCTCTCTCTCTCTCTACCGATCTTCTCTCCCCCTCATCATCTGCCCCCTCGTCTCCGCTCCCCTGACTCTCTCTACTCTCTATATATCTATATTATATATATATATCTATATAAATTAAATAAATATATATTAATACCTGCAATATCATATAGTATAGTTCCACTCATAGCTAATACGCGTTAAAGTGAGTCAGCTATGTAAAAAAAAGTAAGGTGTTTGGATTGAGTGTGTGTGTGTAATGTGTGTGTGTGTGTGTGTGTGTGTGTCGTGTGTGTTGTTGGTGCTGTGTATGCGTTATTGTGTGTGTCTGTGTTTCGTGTGTGTGGCGAACGTGTGTTTTGTGTGTGTTGTGTTGTAGTGTGAGTGTTGTGGTGTGTGCGTGTGTTGTGTGGTGGTGTGTGTGTGTGTGTGTGTGTGTGTGTGTGTGTTGTTGTTGTGCAAGCGTGAGTATGAGAGTGTATGTGTGTGTCTCATGGTGTACGGGCGAAGTAAAGTCAATAAACGTTGTTGTAAATTCTCAATATGATATTCTTTATTCAGTGTTGATATTTTTACGCCACTAGGGCCAAAACAACAAAAACAGATCCCAACTGCACAGACGAATAACACCATATATATAACGTATATACATATCCTGAACTAATTCAATCAAACACTAAGTTGCGCCGTAACATTCAAAAGCTTTACACATCTCTCCCCTCCTTCTACCGTCCCGTCCTCCTTCCCCGCTCCTCCCCCGCCTCGATAGTCACCCGCCGCATTTACAAACAACGGAATTGGACTAGGAACGAAATACCGGAATTTATACAGTACAATCAACACAACAACTCGAGATAAATACAATTATACAACGTAAACAGTAATAACCGAATGAACGTTAGGCAGCTCCCACATAGTAATTTATTATGTACTCGGCTAAAACCGCTGACACATTCATCTTCACTTCTCTGTGCGCCCCTGATTCGACATCTTTCGCATGTGCCCGCTTTCACGCGCGGGCCAGCCACCGGTAACGCGTCTCGGAAGGCGTTGCAGGTCTGTTACGCGGCACGCTCGCTCTGGATTGCTCTCAACCGCTGTTCCGCAATGCGTGATGGTTCCACTCGTAGACTGCAGCTGATTGACTCCCCTCCGCACCGGAGACTTTCGACGTCTGGCAAGAGGCGTCGCAGCCGAGAATGCGGCTACTCTGCGACCCTCGGTGCGCTATTACGGGATGCGCAAGTAAGCTAAGCACTCCTAACTGACGTGAAACGACTTAACGTCAAATTTCCATGTCTTCGCCACAGAGCGAGCGCACTCCGTGATCCCCCCGGTTATACCGTACTCGGTTAGACCAAACGCACGCAACCATAGGTTCAGCGGGGAATCGGCCCGAGGCGCGGTTGCCTATGGTATGAGCCTGTTGAAGTTGCGTGCAGCCGCTTGCAAGCGTCTCGTCTTTACTCTCCTATTTACAGCGTCTACAATGCTTACACCAGAGTTCCGCCTTGCCTCGAAGCCAGTCGAACAGACGCACTTCCCCAGACGCCCGGAAGATGCGTCGGTTCAGGTGGGATGTCGCAGCCCTGCGTGCTGGGTAGTCGGAGCGTCGTAGGGCCAGAGCGGAGGATCGTTCTGCTGCGGTCGGCATCGACATGTCGTAGAGAAGCACACTGCTCGGCCATCATGCTAGAACTGCGTGTTATCCCGCCACCGTTGCACGGAAGGCGCGCTGCCGCATGCCTGCGCACGTCGTTCCGCTCCGCACGTCTTGCCGAGTGCCGCTAGAATTTTCGTGTCCCGCACTCTGCGCTCACAGCGACACACCGCCCTGTCGGCCAATATCCGACGGCCTGCTCATTACGGAAAGTCGTGCTTCAAACATTAGCGTAATATGCGTGTTGTGTGTGTGTGTGTGTTGTGTGTGTGTTGGTGTCTGTCTGTCTGTCCTGTCCTGTCTGTCGTGTGTCTGTCTGTCCGTCGCGTCCGTCCGCCCGTCTATCTGCCTGCTGTGTTCTTGTGTCTGTCCGTCCGCCCGTTATGTCTCTGCCTGTTTGTCGTTCTTCTTTCTGTCTGTCTGCCTGTCCTGTCCTGTCTGTTCTGGTCGTCTGTCTGTTGTCTGTCTGTCTTCCTGTCTGTCTTGTCTGTCTGTCTGTCTGTCTGTCTGTCTGTCTGTCTGCCTGTCTGTCTGTCTGTCTGTCTGATTGTCCGTCTGTCTACTCGCACCAATCTCTTATCCCTTAATGCATTATTCGTGTATTTACCTGACGGACATTGTCGCTATCTCGTGGCCGTTTGCGTAAAGATATTGCGCAAGGGCGTAGTTTGTGAATTGGTGCTCCACAAAGAAGGTCATGCTAAAAGGACAGCCATTCGGGTTTCTCCGGAGTTCACGTCTTCTGTTCGGTTGAATCTAAAGAGAATCGAGCTACGTGACTAAAATACGTGTAAATAATCGGGTACACGTTCACCTGTTACTGTTCACATACCCCACAGTATCCTATTACGTATATGATCAACTAACGGCAGGATTCGATTAGCTTCGAAAGCGATTGATACGGATGAGATAAAGACAGACAATCGGCCGGAGATCCGAATCGAATTCCAAATCATACGGTTAATTCATTTAAGCAGCTACAGAATAATTTTACAAGTATAATTCTGTCATTCTCGCTCCTTACAGACCTTTTTCAGGAGTCCTTCAATAATATGGCTCTGGTCTTGCACTCGGAGTGCCGATTCCCACGTTAGCATAACGATCTGTGGCACTTCGTTTACAGTCAAATTGGCAGGAATCGAGCTGCCTGAGCAACGGCAGTCTGGTAGCCTGCATCGCTGAAGAGAGAGAGAGAGATATATATAGCGTGCTGTTAATATACCTAGGAAATGGAGGAATCAAACGCCTACATCCTACAATCAGAGAACCAATGTCAGTGAATGAGTGAATCCGATGTTTAGATTCTAAGTGCACGTGCATCGTACTATACTACATTATGCTAATCATATTTTTTCCTGGAGGTTACTCCGGTCATCGGTATAAAGTATAACATTTGTATTAGGTTAAAGACGTCCCACAGCATGTGTGTAATTGTCTTCTTCAGAAATTATGCAATAAAAGTATTCGCGATTCTATCAGTGACAGTAATGCTTAGTCATCATTACCATTAGTCAGTATGCTGAAATTAGCAACAACAAAATTAAAAAGAAAGAAAAAAGAAAAGAATGGGAGAAAGAAATTACCAACTAAAATATTCTAGAATATAAGGATAGGAAAGTTAACTAACTAATAACCAACTAAATACATTAATTAATTGATAAATAAATAGGTAAATAAATACAACCACACCTCTGTGTCGCAGGGTTCAGCACAGTCTACTTCGTCTGACGCATCGTCACAATTTGCTCTGCCGTCACACACGGCCGACCAGGCAATGCATTGCTGCGCGTCGGCGCACGTGAACTCACACTTTCCGAATGCTAAGGGAAGTCACCAGCAATAGAATACACACTAAATTTACGCACCCGTGTATTATTATGTCCGAATTAACGTGATTGTAAGTGGAGCACATATTCACCGACTCACCCATCCACTCATCCCTGCCGCACACGCACACGCACACGCACACACGTACGAACACACACACATGCACACACACACACACACACACACACACACACACACACACACACACACACACACACA